AGAAGGTCTTGTGGAGTTAGGGAGCACCCACAAAGGAATGCTTGTGAGACTGTGCAGTCTCCAGCCTTGGAGTTCTCCAAAAGCCATCTGGCTTAGAAAAGTAGTAGTGACCCCACAGAGCTGAGGACGCCTCGGGAAGGTGAGAAACCTCAGTGGGGATGAAGCCCCTGAGCTCCCAGATGCCCAGCCTGGGTGTGCAGCAGGGCTGGCCTTTGCAGCTGCGGAGGTGAGGACTCCACTGCGAGCTGAGCGGGATCAGCCCCTTCCCATCACTGAGGCCACAGGGGCTCGGAATGCTCACAGTGCCAATGACTGAGGGAGCCTCGGGGGCTGCTGCTGGAGGAGTCAGAAACGCACAAGGAGCATTGCGGGCACTGCAAGGACTGCTCATTGCTCTGCCTGCTCCCGCCGCTGCTTCCTTTGCTGCCGCCCAGAGTCGTTTCCGGCAGCTCTGTTCTCCCGGCGCTGGGACGCGCTTTCTGCCTCTTCCCCACTCAGCAAACACGCAGCTTGCTCTCGGCATGCACCTCGCAAATCTCATCCTCACCGTCTTCCTGGGACAGCTCCTCGGTAAGCACTGGATCTTCTCCAATGCACCCTTCTTCTTCTTCTCCTTCTTCTTCTTCTTTCTTCTTCTTCTACTTCTTCTTCTTCTTTCTTCTTCTTATTCTCCTTCTTATTCTTCTTCTTTCTTCTTCTTCTCCTCCTCCTCCTTCTTCTTCTCCTTCTCTTCTTCTTCCCTCTCCCCTGAAAATCCTCAAAAGCCTTATCAGAACCATGGGGGAAATGCCAGTGAATAAAGGGAAAAGACTAAGAAAAATCTGCTTCCCTTTGTGGTTTTGCAAGTCTTTCCTGAAGGGGATATCCTATTTTCAAAGGGAAAGGGAAGAGAGAGAAACCTGAGGAACTTTTCTGTGTTTTCCTCACCTTCAATCCGTTTCCCTCTGCCTCTCTCCTCTGATCCTCCTGCAGTCACCTCAGGAGATCTCAGCTGTCTCTACAGTCCCACCTTCTTCCCATTTCAACGAACATTCCCAGGTCCTGTCAAGCCCTCCCCAGGCACCTCCATGTTCTCCCTTCACTGACATTAACAGGGTGTCCCATTCTGCCTCCAGGCTGACAC